ACATCCCCCGAGGGCTCCTGGGCTGCCAGAGGGATGTTTGACTGCCAGCTTAGGCCCGATCTCCTGGGGAGCGGGCCTAAGACAGCAGATGGACATCTCCCAAGGGGTCCCAGACTGCGAGAGGGCACAGGCCAGGCTAAGGGACCCCCCTGAGTGCACTAATTTTTGTGCACCGGGCCTCTAATATTTAATAATGGTATTCCATGGACAAAAGTCAGTAGCATCAAAAAATAATCATTTCTCCAAAAAATCCTCAGAAGCACAAGCCAGTAGTGAACTTCTGACAATATGAGTAAATCAGGTAGAATTTTGAAGGTGACACTTTGTTTCCTGGAAAAGTAAGTTTCTCAGTTTGTTTGCCCACAATCTTCTTTCTGCAGCACAATGAGGAAGAAGGAAAGGGTTAAAACAAACATGAAAAACTGAAGCCCTAAGCATCACAACAATGACAATTTTTAGAGGGGAGACAGCAGAGAGGTTGTGGTCCCAAGAGAGACTCGGGGAACTTTGTGGACAGTGCCTTGGGCTCCAGAGCAGAGGCTGGCCTGCGAGGACCTCCAGGAACAGGCTTGGGGCTCTTTAATAAGTATTCCAGGGAGTCAGGCTTTCCTGGAAAAAACAAATTAGTGGGAGAAGCCAGTACTGTGCAATTTCAGTTTTAAAAATAGCCAGGCATTGTGAAGGCTGCTGTGTGCGTGAGAGAAAAAGAAAGCCCTTGTTAATATTTGCCTCTGCTTCCACACTAAAACAGAGCAGCTACACTGACATTTTTGCCCTGCCGAAACTGCAAAGGTCATAAGGTTTGTATCACTTGGAATGACTTTTTGGTCCTTCCCATGACAAAGTTTGGGGAGTGGATTGTGTCCTTTCGTATCCATCAGTCTTGCAATAGAGGACAGCCAGGTGATGGCTCTGCCTCTTTCACTCAGGACCAGAGCTGCTCCTTGATGTCTGTTTCAGCTCTTCATTTGCCTAATTGCCCTGGGAGCCTGGCAGGGACCTTCCCTGCAGCTGTGGCTCAGCTGACTGCAGAGACCCTACCTGGCACTGGAAGTTGGTGCGTCAGCATTTTAGGTGGAAATGAATGAAAAATCAATCAGGATGACTGCAGTGGTAGCATGCACAACTCTAACCTAGTTTGTCCATAACTTTCAACTAGTCACCATAGACCCAAGCAGTGTTTAAGATGGTAACTGAATCTGTAACAAAAGTGCTGCTTCTGCTTAATCAGGCTTTTTTTTGTGTCCTCTTTTCCATTTAGAATAAGCAAATCTAACCTGCTTAGGAAGCCACATGAAAAATGAATGATATTGTCTAGTTTCATGCAAATATTCTCTATTTGCCCTGGTTTAACATTCAGTGATAAATTTCCAGATATGTATAAAATTGTTTTATTAACTTATACTTCAAATTCAGAGGTTCAAACAGCTTTTTTTAAAAAAAAGTCTGTTATATCCTTGCCACATATCTTTGTAACTTGCTATAGCACTCTCTTATCAAAACTACACTGTCTTAAATTTTACAATTCTGCAAAGATAGAGTTAAACACTATTTGGACTCTGGCTACATGAGGGAAAGTGAAATTGTTCAAAGCTGCAGTCTTCCGCTCCCAAAGACAGCTACAGAAACTTTCTGAACAGATTGGGTTAAACATTTTTACAGACCCATTCTGTGATGATAAGGCGGCAATAAGTTGTGCAGTGCAACACTCCGAAGGGCTCCAAATCTCACAAGCCTCTTTGTATGTGATGCTCTCACAGTGAAGAAGATTCTTGGGGCTATAAAGATGAAGAGCCTACTCCTTCTGGTGCTGATCTCCATCTGCTGGGCTGATCATCCTTCAGACAACTACACTCTAGATCATGGCAGAGTTATTCACATCCAAGGTAAGAAAACACAGGTTCTCTTATGAACGTCAAATGAATTTCAAGTTACTTAGAGTTGAGATGCTGGGTTTGTGTTTCTTCATTAGTTCTGCTGCACTGACTTTTCCCTTTCCTTTCTGCTAATTGGTGAACATGCTCCCTGGCTTTTGAATGCGATAGCATGACAGTAGAGTCAGGAATTGGGGACAATTAAAGTGGAATGGCTTATGAATGTCCGACTGCAGGGAATTGATGTAATTGTTCCAGGCTTTTTAGCACAGTTGCTACCTTTCTTGTAAGTAGAACAGAGGACATAAAGTTTATTTCAGTGCAAGGCAAAGGGGGTGGGGAGAAATAGGAAGTAAAACTTACGATGTAAGGTCATGCTGCTAGAGTAAGCATTAGGAAAAGCTGTGTGAAAATGAAAGTCAGACAAGCTAAGCTTCAGGAGAAAGTAACTCACCGCGTTATAATCTCCTTTGGTGAATATTTAGCTCCGATTGACCAGTATGTTGCCTCTGCGTGTTTCTGTTCAGCTCAGCTGAATCCTCAGCCTTAGAGCTGTAAGGAGGTTTGGGGCTGCAGTGCAATGCAGCTATTTCCTCAGTCCCAGCTTCAGACGAGGGGCATCCTGCACTCAGGAAGCTAAGAGACTTATGCAATAAGGAAAAGATCGTTCTAAAGGAGCTGTCGCTTCTCTCTTTGCCCTGGTGTGCTGAATAATTAAAAGAAGAATGACAGGATTTAACAGTTTAAACATATGATGACATTAATTTTAGATGGACTCAGTTTGGGGACCAGAAGCATTATAAGTTTGCTAAGAGACATAAAACATCAAGTTATATCCTCAAGGTCAAAAGTGTAGTCTCAGAAAATTGCATCCACTGTTGCAAAGTATGAGTTGTGAAGGTCAAATGATAGTGTAAGTCTGGCTAGAAGTATTTTCCTGTACATATTGTGACTACACAAATAGAGTTCTGAATTTGACAATAGCTTGCTGTTTTAGACATATCTCTTTCACTTCTTTTGGCTTCCAACAGCTTTATGTTTTTTGCTGGACTGTGAAAAGGAATTATATAATCATAAATTGTACTATGCAAGCTGCTGACTCAGCTGTTTTTTAATGTATACAGTAGAGGAATCAAAGCTGTTTCCCAGACACTATATTTACACAGAGAGATTTCTGATGAGGAACAACATCTTTTTAACATCTAGTCACAGAATGCAGTTCAGCCAAAAGGTTAATACTGAGTCATGATTAACAATAGCAGGTTTAAAGCTGATGTAAAATTAACGTTAGCTGTGGTTTCAAGTTATTATTAGACAGATATCTGTTATATTATGAACTATGTACAAACCATTTAGTTTAAAGTGCGCTCAGAGTATGCAAATATTATTTTGGGAGTGTATTAACATTTTAAAAGTTACTCCTGGGGAGCCTTTAAATTAGACTTGAGTTTCGTCAGTGAGGAAAACTTCTGTGGCCCCAGCCTTTCCATCCCATATACTCTGCTGGAATTTAGTGCAAAGGAATTTCTGACACAAGGTATCAGAATTCACATTATTGCATACACTATAAAATTAAAAAAGTAATTTGATAGTTCATTTTTAAATTGTAAATTCATATTCTTAGAAAGTTACTCATAGCTTTCAAATAATAAAACTAGACAGCCTACCTTTTGCTTGTAGAAGCCTATACTGAAATGTAATTTGAGTCAGGATTATGATGCTATGTCCATACATCTTAATTTATTTTAAAATTGCTCCAAATACCTGTTCTTTTTATTTTTCATCTAATAAAAAGTTTTCTTTTTCCTTTATGATAGCATTTAGGTTGACCATTCATATCTTCAGTCCTCCAGAGAAACACCTCCAAGTGTCCTGACATAATTTCGGCTGTCATTTACAATACAAAAATAACATGTATAGCACACGAGATAATCATTACAGCAGATAATCTGCATTCCTCACTTGAAATACTAGTTTCTCATATTTAAACTCTTATTTGTCAAACTTATTAGTTTCTCATATTTAAACTCTTATTTGTCAAACATTAGTTTCTTATATTTAAACTTTCATTTGTCAAACATGGCCCCAAAGGAATTTAAAGGAGCTTAAACCCTCATAAAATTTTATAAGAATTTTGTAGTCAGATGACTAAGTTAGTAAATCTGGCTTTCAAATTCCTGAGTTGTACTGATAAGCACAATGGGCTCCTCTCAGTGATAGAAAATTGTTCAGAATTCGCATTACTGCAAAAATACCTTTTCTGTCTCCCCATGTTTATTAAATTTCTATGTTTGTATTCCCAGGCCCAAATGACACCAGGGCAATATGCACATTATTCCCAAATTCCCCTAAGCTGCTTTGATGAAGATGTTCAACACTTAGATAGTATGTTCTTGAGTCTCAGGCATAAGAGTTACCTAATTATTTTTTGCAGGCTTCCTCCCAAATTTGTTATGGGAGCGGCTATAGATACGTGGGAACAAAAACATTTAATCTGGCTTTTTCTTTTAAAAAAGTGGAACTACCAGGAAAGAAAATGCAAGTATAGAAGCCTGTGCAGTGTTTCTGGTGAAAAGCATGTGTCTGGTTATGAAAAAGGAAACTCTCCCAGTTTCCCACGAAGAAAGACACAGCCTTTGATAAAAAGTGCACATATACTCATTCATGCCTTTTAACTTTTATATTGAAGCTGTTTGAAAGCAAGCTTTACTTGTCTATGGAGTCTGCTAATGTAGTTCCCAATGTAGAAGACAGTAATTTCTTAAAATATAGCTACAGGAAGAGATAGCTGCTGTTAATACTGTCTCTACAACACTTTCCACTAATACATTACATCCCTCGTTTCCTGATATGCCTAGTCAAACAACTTCTAACTCCTTTGAAACTTGAGACCTTTAGGAAGAGTTTTATATGGAATACCAAATCACACAAAAGTCTCTTTTATTTTTTTTTATTTTTTTTTTTTTTAATTAAATCTTTATTGTTCAGGTTACATTTGTTCCTCTTTTTTGCTTGGGCGGGGCGGGCTCAACAGGGCGGGCGGAGGGAGCCGTTATGGTGCCCTCAGTCCTGTTCCCAGAGGCTCTGCTTCTCAGAACCCCCGGAACCGCTGCAAACCTCGGAGGGAAAGCTGCCTTCCAACTGATGCCAGACACTCCCGCTTCTCCCGTTTGGGTCCGAGTCCCCAGCGATTCGCCCGTATCTGGAGCTCAGAGTCTGAGACTCCCCCCTGACCGAAAACGACAACCGCGCTCTCAGCCACCAGCCCGCTTTGCGCGCGCACCTCCGCACCTGAGTATTTTCCACACTGCGCCTCCTCTGAGCCTCGGTGTGCTGTTATTTTTCCTTCTAGTTGAAGAGTCTCTCCTCAGCCAGCCTTCCTGTGGTTCTGGGTGATGTCCGTTCCGTCTTTTAGTTGTATTTTTGAAGTGGTTGTTTGTGGCAGCAGTCTGCGGTGTTTACCTATGCCGCCATCTTGGTCTCTCACAAAAGTCTCTTTTAAATAAATATGTGGATGAGGTCCAAAAACTCTTTCTGTATACTTTTAATTACCAGTAGATGTTCAAAGATAAAGATATATTTTTTTAACCCTGTTTTTAAGGAGACATTTACATAGACACCAGAGAAGTCATATGACCATTTGCCCATTAAACAATGTAAAAAGCAAAATAGTGAATGCAAAACCGCTTGACCATATTCAGGTCCGAGAGCCAATGGCGTCCTTCCTCTGGTGGCCAAATGCAGTCTTCCGACAAGTTTTAGACTTTTCCCCCCAATGCCACTACTGACTTTAGATATTGGACATTTAATTTCTTCAAGTTTCCTTCCCCTCACCTATAAAATCGGGCATAATCACCATTTATTCTGTAGAGCTTTGTAGAAATTAAATTAGGTAGTATTTGGATAATATATGGATAAGTGCTTACTACTGAGCCTGGCACACAATAAACTCTCAATAGATGACGGTTATTATCATCATCATGTTTGTTACTTCCTCACTGACATGGAAAAGGAGGTACAAAGACTGGTGGAAAAGCTCATGCTTTTCAAACTTATTTGTAACAGAACCTTAGTTCTAATGAAGTAAACGTTCTATAAGTTGCCTTCTTTGTCCTCTTTAGTTTCACAAATGAAAATTTCCCCCAATAGTATTAGATATCATCCAGTCCTTTTACTTTCCTTGTAAACACAGAAGCTTTTCAAACTTAAGTAATTTTCCTTTAATAGACTTACTAGGTGAACGCAGATAAGCTAAATGTTGTTCTTTTATAATTTTAAAAGTAGTTTTAAAATAACAAAAATAAAATTGTTGCCCTCTATTTAATAAGTAAAATGTACTGTCACTTTCTCAAAAGATAAAACAGTAATAGTTTTTAAGGGAAGAATTGTCAGTTTATCTCTCTGGGTAGAAAAATAATGTATATCTAGAATCCTTGGCAGAAGTGGACATTCCCCATCCAGGGGGTTGGCTCCTTTATCCTGTGTGTCTCAAATAACTCCTCTATCCCCGCTTAGCATGGGTTACATTTTTGTTAAAATAGCTCCATTTCCCCATCAGATGGTCAGATTTTTAATACCACAACTGTATAGTTGTGCCTGGAACATAGTATGTGCTATATATATGTGTTTGTTGAATAAATGGATGAGTGTAATGGAATACATCCAAATTTCCATTATCATAATGAGCATTTCTTAAATCCTGTGGCATCCATGGCATTTAGCAATGCAATGACATATTGTGTAGGCTTCATAAACATTAACAAGATGACTGCTTTCATTATAATGTTGATAAAAGCTAAACCATAGTTTATAGAATTTAAGGACTTAAGATGACTTCAATATATGATATCTAGATTAATATCCCATTGTACAAATAAAGAGATCAAGACCCAGAGATTTTATATTTCTTGTCCCTGGTAGCATGGCTAATGAGGAACAGTGTCTCTTGGCTAATCCCTTCCCCTCTTCAAGTATGGGCTCATTTCTCACCTTCTCAATGAATTTTCCCTGCC